AAGCCACTAGGGGTTCCTGCCTCTTTTGTCTCTTTTGTTTCCTAGACTGCTTCTCTTTTCCTCATTCCCCAAGGTCATCCACACGTTCCATTACAATCTCTGATCACTGAATAAATTATTATAGGATTATATAAAGAATTATAGTTCAAAGGAGCAACTTTCTGTTGAGATTTTTAAAATAATCGTAAATGCAGCAAAAAAGAACTTTTAAAACTGCAATCCTCTTTTGGTCTTTCCTAAAAGCATTGCATTTTAAAAACTTAAAACAATTTTTGCAATAATTTTAGGAAACACAAAAGATACAGCAGCATTCATTCTTGGTTTTTTTGGGAGAGCAATTTTTATGGTCAGTTCAGTTCCTAGTAAATAGAAACTAAATGGACTGGACTAATGAGCAAGTTTGTTATCCAGGTGGGCTTAACTTGTTTTTTTTAAAGAATATTAAAAAATAAAAATGCTTTTTAAAAAATTAAATAAAAATTAATTTCTCCTTTTTAACATCAACAACTTTAATTAACTTAGTATTGAGCAATAAATGATTGAAGTATGATGCAATTTTGTTTCCTTATGGTGGAAAACATTTATATTTAACAGAGATGGGGTGTTGCAGATTAAAAATGCTAATTTAAAGTTTGCATTGCTCCTCAATTTTAATTCCTAAATTGTAGATTTATTCCAAAACATATTATGTAGAACTCTTGCTTGCTTGTTGTCAGGACAGTAGCCTTCTAAATATATTTATAATTAATAATCTCTGATTACAAAGTTCTTCATCATTAATTTCATCCACCCTTCCTCTGTGAAGGATTCTTTCTAACATAATGGTTGGTTTATTTCTGAAGATCTACAGGGTTCAAATTGACAGAAAGTTACACTTCCTCACCACAAAATTCTGATATACTTTAATATAAGTGTATTCTTCAAGTATTTGTAATTATATTTTATTTTGCATTAGTCAGATATTATCTCAAAGACTTTGTCTAGATCTGGGATAACATTTTAAGGATTCAGACCAGGTGGAATAGTAAATAAAACAGCAAAGATAAAAATGGGTTTGTAAACTATGTGTAATGATTGCAACCTATGCATTTTTAACTCTGCGATACAATAGCCAACAGATGAAGGGAGTATCACAAATAAAATCCCAACATTAGAAAAAAAAGAAGCATATTCTCAAGTTAGTTTAATTTCTATTGATTGAATTGCCAGAAATCTGAAGTTTTCTTTACAACAATAGTTATTTATTGGGCTTATATGTTGGTCCAATCATCACCGCCTTTGAGCAGTTTGCATGCCCGCTTCTGTAAAATAAGATTAGGAATTATTCATAAAGTTTAAATGAGCAATAACCAACTCAGAATTTCACACTGGTAACAATAAACAAGTGCAGTTAACAGACCAGAACAATCACATTACAACAAAGTAAACCACAACACTACAATAAAATTAGTATTTTAGAATAATAAAAAAGTGGGAAAAAGAGGAAAGATAAAATTGCAAAAATCAAAGAAAAATCAATATAAATTATTATTGATTATAAAGAAATTATTTCCAATTTTTTTACAGCAATTGTAAATATATGTTGGAAAGAAAATCCAGCGCTTTGTTTTTATATATCAGCAGCAAGGTTGCTATATGCCCAAAGATGGAAAGAGAAATATATATCGACAATGGTAGAATGGGTTCTGAAATTAATGGAGCTAGTCCAATGATGAAATTGACTATTGCTTAGAGATCATAACTTGACTATATTTCTTCTTAAGAGCCTTGGTGGCGCATAGAGTGCAGTACTGCAAGCTACTACTTCTGACAGCCAGCTGCCTGCAATTCGGCAGATCGAATCCCACCAGACTAAAGGTTGACTCAGCCTTCCATCCTTCTGAGATGGGTAAAATGAGGACCCAGATTGTTGGGTGCAATATGCTGACTCTGTGAACTGCTAAGAGAGGGCTGTAAAGCACTATAAAGTGGTATATAAGTCTAAGTGCTATTGCTATTCTTGTGACCTGGAGACCCCTATTAGATTGCTTACAAGACAAGGAGAAAAATCAGGTTTTGATTTCAGGGTTTGAGGATTAGATTGAACTAGAGAAATATTGTAGCTTTTTAAACATAAGGTTATTTACATTTGACTTACTATATGTTAAAATTAAAATTAAGAGAATATTTTATGAATATTGTTATTTTAGATTAATTATTAGTATTTTGTTTTAAAGATTAGCATTGTTTGCATAAAGCTAGACAAGTTGTTGTATTGTTATTTCTGGACTAAAAGAAACTCAGAAATCATCTTTGTTATAAATTTGATATATTTTTGGTTACTTTGTTTTGCTGTTCCCTTTCCCTTTTCCGATATTTGACTGTGAAATTTAAAATAGATATTTAAAAAATAATAAGGGGTTTCCAATCATTATTAAACCTAAATAATATTTTATCTCTAATTAAAACCATTTGTCCATCTTGGCAAGTTCCATCTTTAGTATTGATTCCTCCATTATGGGTAAAGTTTATTTTTTCCACTTTTGTGCATTACATAGTCTCATTGCAGTTGTCATACATGAAGATAAATGTTTTCCAGCTGCTTAAAAAACAATCCCAAAATCAAAGTCTCAGGTTTTAAACGCTTGAGTCTTTAGAATCTTTTGTATTATTATATGTAATTGATTCCAACATTTTACAGGTTCACCAAAACCATGATAAAATGTCCCCTCTTGTTGGTTTACAGTTCCAGCGAAAGTTTGAAGAACATTTATACTTTCTGGATGGTTGTTCCAAGATATATGTACCAATAATACATTTTATAAAACTTTTCTTTAAGACCATAACGTAGTATAAATTTCAATCCTTTCAACCATATACCGTATTTCCCCATGTATAAGCACCCCCTTTGCATAAGCCACCCCCCCAATTTTTGGACTGTGAAGTTTTGAAAAAAATATTTTATTAGAGAAACAAGTTATGAAGAAAGAAAATTTACAAAGAAACAAAATTCGACGTCTAGATCTACCACTTCGGTCATGACGCCGAAAGCGGTGCGGGCGACGCTAGCAATCTACGCATCGGAACGAGAGTAGGAACGAAGCATTCAGGCCGATGCCTAGCGTATGCATTTCTATTGCGTACTCGCACTCGTAATCGTATCATCACGTACAATTTTTACAAAAAAGTATAGCATACTGCTGGAAAACCAGTTTATTCCTACTTTATTATTTTATGCATTTTTCACGTATAAAAAGTGTACCTGCTTTGTATATGCCACCCCCCTACTTTTTGGGCTTGAAAATTTTGGAAAAAAGGGGTGGCTTATACATGGGGAAATACGGTATATATTCTCCTACTGATCCATATGTGTATTGTAACCAAAGTTTTAGCCCATTTTACCATACATTTTCACTTCTTCCTCGTTTCATATTTCAAAAAAAATTGATACATTTTAGCAATAAAATCTTCATTTGTATACAATTCCATTTCAAATTTTGTCTTACATTGTTCAAAACCAACTTATTTTATCTAGTTTAAATCTTTCTAATAATTACCAGTAACATGAATATACTTCTACTGCCAGCTCTCATTTTTATTTTACATTCTCCTTAACAAAATTCTAATGTATCAAAGCAAGTCAACCATTTATGTCTAGTAATCATTTCTATTCTATAAAATGCTTCCTGTGCTGAGATCCACCAAGGCACAGCCTAGGTTTATATCTGTTTCGTATTGTCAGCGTGGTACACCTAACAAAATGAATCTTAAAATCTACATTCACCTTAGTTTTAAGGTATTTTAGATATCCATGCCACACAAATATCAAACCATTCCCTTCTTCCCTTCTGTAACTCCAAGACAACATCCATTCTTTCATTTTAGTCCAAGCAGCTGAAAGAACCAGGCTTTAATGGCCTAAACCCCAGAAAAAAAAAACTTCATATGGCTTTCTGGGGAATTCAGAGAAAGTCACAAGTTTCATCTAGAATATTTTGTTTTGTCTTCCCAGACTACTTTTGCCATTTCTTTGGAGATCTTCTAGACAGGTAGTGTACATGGGCCCAATTCCGCTTAGTTTCAAAGCCTGAACAAGATCAGCCAGGAGTTGTTAACTGGTCAGACAAAACACCAAGTGCCAGATACAGAAAAATGGTTTCAGTTGTGACATATGGAATGTTAGGAATAAAATCTGTTCCTAAATCAGTGGAAAAATGTTTGGCAGCAGAACTACTTACCAAGAAAAGTGGTGTGTTCCCCTTATGGGGCTGAGTTCAAGCAGGTGGGTACTTTTGAGTTCCTACCCTGAACAGCAGTTGGATCCCATCCCAATGGATTCATTTCATACGTGCCTATCATTCAGCAATGTTGAAATTATAGGTACTCAGCCCAAAGGATACATGCTTAAGCATATCTTCAAAAACTCCAGGGTTTTTTTTTAATGGCGGATTGTAACTATTTCCCTGTAACCCCATGGAGAGGATTCCCCCCCCCAATGTTTCCGCCCCCCACTCTTTTCACCACTCCCGGGAATCTGAAAGGAAGGTTTCAATCCTCCTCTTCCCTTTTTCTTCGTGGCAATAATCCCAATCGTATCAAGTTCATGCCTAATAATTTAAAACAATGAAGCATAAAAATACAGGCTGACCAATTTTCAAGTAATGAAAGAATCGCCGGAACGAGAGAGGCCAAAGAACATCAATCCTCGCTCGCCAAAAGCACGCTCAAAGCGGCAGTGCAAGCTCAGTTTAACCCGGGAGCAAATCCTTCGATACGAGAGAAACCAACGTGCGCACGGGCGGGTCCACGCGAGGGGTCCCGCCGAGCTGAAAGAAAGCAGCCTCGGCGCTCGGTTTCCGATAAGTGCGGAGGAACCGGGCCTGCCAACTCCGCGCGGCAGAAGACGAGCAGCAAAGCGCTGCCGCCTTCGCCGAACGTTCCCAACGTGTGAGGCTAGATCCGGCTGGGCTGCCGCGGAGGGATCCCAAATCCGTGGGCGGAGGAGACGAGTAAAGGGGGGGAGAGAAGGAAGGAGGCGCCGGCGCCGCGGCGGCCCGAGCCGCGGGGGGGGGGGGGGGGGGCACCAACATGGCGGTTCCATATTAACTTTTCCCCCCTTCGGCAGTGGCTGCCACCGCCGGTCGCCCCTCTCTTGGGTAGCCGTCATGCCGGGCATGATGGAGAAAGGAGCCGAGCTCCTGGTGGGCGCCAAGAGCAGGGCGGCCCCCAACGGCACCAAGAACGGCGGTGGCGGCAGCAGCCCCGGTTCCAACGGGAACTTTTTCGAGCCGGAAAGCGGCGGTGGCGGCGGCGGTGACAGCGGCGACGAGCACGGTGCGGGCTTTATCTTCCCCCACCCTTTTTCTCCCGAGCGGGTAGATTTGGGCCTAGTCCCGTCGCCCCTGTGTACTGTCTGGCTGGTGGCAACTGCACTGAGCTTCTATAGGTCTCTCTGTACTGGGGTATATGTGCACGCGCGCGCGCGTGCAAAACTGTGAGGTGCGCTCGCGATAGGGTCTACACAGGGTGCGGATAACGCGAGTATGGGGGGCGCGCACGTGTACACGCGCGCGTCCTCGATTTCGCGCGGCCGCGCTGTATGTGTGCCGGCTTGTCCGTCTGTCCATCATCTATCCCGTGGAGAGTGGGTGTGCATTTTCACAATGGGCACACGTGTATTGCAACCGCACTTCAGGCGCGGTACTGCACGGCATTTTACGTGTGTGTACAACTGTACACGTTTAGTGGCATATAACCTTGCCAACGAGTACGTGGTGGGTGTCTGGACTATGAAAAGATTGCCATGAAGAGTGGTGCACGCAGGTCTAGCTACGTGCAGCCCTTTCTGTCTTGTTTTTCTCTGCTAGAAACGCACTCGAGACATACACCCACGCAACGTTGTGCTGTATCAGCACAATAAAGTAAAGGGTCCGTTTCTGTTTCTCACTAAATTTAATTTAGCACAATTGTTGCCTTTCTGGAAATTAATCCCCACCTGGAATGTTAAAGGGAAGTAGGCATTTCTTTTTCCGGTGTATATGTGGTGGGGGGAGTTATCTCTTTTTTTCTTCTTTCTGTCTGTCTGTCTCTCCCTACTTGTTCAAGGCTTTGAGGCTATCAAAGCAGCAAGGCTTGTGCTTATTGGTAATTGTCTATTGCATTGTCTGTGATGCTTCTAGATCACAATCTCCACATTTTAATTTGTAATGACTATACTTCAATCATTGAAGAGAAAGGCGTCCTTTCTCTTCCGCCCCTCTAAGAGATGCATTTATTTTTTCTTCCATTGCAGATGTAGGAATGAGGGTCGGAGCAGACTATCAAGCTCGCATCCCTGACTTTGATCCTGGTAAATATTTGTATATGTATATTTAAAATATATTTGTAACTTGATATCTCTATGCTGTTTTCAAAAATGGGAGTTTATTGCATGTGTTCATTATAATGAGAATGTAATTGAATGCATTCTGTTGAATATTATGTGAGAGTGAAAGGAGGAGAGTTGCTTTTGTGAAGGTTAAAGGTGTAGGATTTTCTTTGGCACCCCTCCCCCAAGGCTTTGTGCAGCTTGTTTCTGGTCACTGAAGGTTTGCAGAGCCAGCTTTTAATGTTTGGAAGTTGAAATAAGCAGGCCTTGTGTTTGGAGAAGGTAGCTCTTGTCTTCTAAGTAAGAAAGGAAGGGTTTTAAATTTTCAAAAACTTATCTATCTTGCGTCTACAGTAGTATGAAAAGAGTATTTTATTCCAAGAATATTGAAAGACTATGCTTCCTTGATTTTCCAATATTTAAAAGTGAGGAGTAATGAAGGTTTCAATATAACAAGTAATACTTCTGTTCACCATGTGATAGAATAGACAAACTTGCACTTCTTCATACTGATTTATCTCAGTCTTAATTTGCATGTACTATATTAGCAAGTCATCATTATTATCCAAACAGTCTTATTTCTAGCCAGATCTACAAGGAAACTCTTCTGTAGACCTGGACAATCTATGTCAGTTGATTACTGCTGCTAATAATGGTGCCCTTCTATTGAAACTTATTATTTCACTCTAAGATGTTTCTGAATCTTTTGTTTTAAAGAAGAAGCAAATTGATTCTCTTTTTTAGAAATATTTTATTGTTGCTATTAAAATCTTATCAATTATAAATGTTTAATTTTATAGCTAGAAAACTGGTTTCAACAATAAAAAGCTTTGGATTTAGTTTTGTTGTACCTGTCATATATACTATTAAAATATTGTCAGTGGTTGACAGAATTTGTGGGTGGATTCTTGATTTTTGCATATTTAATATAAATTAAACAATACCCTAAATGCTCGTAAAAGAAGAATTTGCAGTTGAAGTATTGTCCATTCTTGGTTTGTTGCATTTCTTCTTGTCCACAAAAGTTTCTTTGACATTTCATGTAGACATTTAACAAAAGTCACACCTTTTTTACAACCTATTTTCCACTTCATAGGTGTTACTGTTCCTCTATGATGATAAAGATCCCAGTATTTAGTATGATTGTACATAATTTAGGATTGTCATTTGTTTACAATTCATCCATTTGATCTCAATCAGTGATACAACTATAAGAGAAGCATAATCTATCAGATAGGTTGCTGAGGGCTAAAATGTGGAACACCATCTCATAATTACCTAACTTTGATTAATAATTTTGCAGAAGTGGGTATTTATAAGAAATAGCAGTAGATGACAGCAACCTATCTCATAGCTTTTTCATTCTGACCAACTTAAGTTCCAGAATTATCATGTTTGTCGTTTTAAAATACATGAGAGAAATATATCTGGAATTTATCATTGATCTATCATGTAAAATGTGGTATAAGTGGTCTATACTATCACATCCAAATTTCCTCTCAATCTTTCACATACCCACGGCTAGGATTAACATTTTGAGCTACCCACCCATACTACAGTGCTTCTTAAGCAATGTTATTAAAGATTTATAGAACATCTTAAGGATGGGTTGCCATTAGTATTTGGTGCCTATAGTGTACCAGATTATAAGAATTGTCTTGATTTCTCATGTAACCTCTTTTAAGTTTACTTTCATTTTTTTGCTCAGTAGATTAAACCTATGGATTTGGTTTTCATATATTTTTCCTAGTTGTTTTCTTTAATTGAATTCTCCCCACTATTTAAATTTTACTTTCACCTTGTTTACTTTTCTTAGTAGAAAAGTATCAATTGAATAGCAGTAACAATAGCACTTAGACTTATATACAGCTTCATAGGGCTTTACAGCCCTCTCTAAGCAGCTTACAGAGTCAGCATGTTGCCCCCAACAATCTGTCTTCATGTTACCCACTCTCTTCAGCATTGAACTCCTGGCAGTGAGCAGAGTCAGCCTGCAATACTGCATTCTAATAACTGCACTACCACAGCTCTTATAATATTTTATAATATATTTTTCATTTTTTCTGTTCAGTAGGGAATTCGAAGTACCAAAGTCTAAACATTTTCATATATGAAATCACCCTGTTTGTGTTGGATGACATGTTACCTAAAGATATTTTCTTCATTTGCACTTCATTGGCAATCTTTTTTTTCTTCTCATGACATTGTGTTCATCTTGACCCATACATGAGATAGTTAAGTTGCCCTCAGCTGTTCCTTGACAAAATAATATTTCCTCTTTAAGCAGACAACAAACTGTGGCAATTTTGCTGTGGGGTAAAATCTGATCTGTTCCATCAACTAAATTCTTTTGGTAGGACTATCAAACGATAGTCATCAGCATGGCATCTATTGGGCACTTAGGGTGGTATCGAGTATATGCCTTCTCTCTCTAGCTTTTGGTGTGATTTCAGAGCTATTCTACATCAGGCAGCAGGAAAGTGGCTATCAAATTGGGTCCTTCTCTGCATCCTTGGGTGGGGAGGACAGAACCCAGCTTCAAGGCTTGGATGAGTATAACTAGCAGCTGATCAGCAGTGGAAGCAGAAAAGGTGCAGAATGATGCAAGATAAGCAAGAAAGAGAGGTTCTCTGTGGTGCTTTATGGTAAAACTTCTCCAGTGTCTGTCAACTTTTGTTTGTGCTGCTCTTGAACATGAGTGTAGTACTGTTCAGGAAGAGCACTGAAGCCATGTCAAAAAGGAGACCAAGTACCAGTTGATAATCAAACGCCCTTTGAATGTGCTTATGGAAAATATATGTGCAGAATCAGAGCAAATTTCAATAAAAGACTAAACCTACCATTCTTACTTTCCCCATAAGGTCTGGCACCACGCCATGTTAAGGAGAGAATTTAGTAAATGCTTTCATGTCAACTGGAGATATAACGGAAGAGAAGGAAAAAGAACTTCTTTCGCTCTCCATTTTAAAATGTCCAACATGTCATAAAGAGAATTGAGATGTTGTGTCTGTTGTAAGTTCGATATTGCCTAGCAAATTTTATGTCAAGACAGACATACACTACTTCAACTTTGTCAAAAGAAAGAATTCAAAATCTGACCTGGGGACACAAGCAAAATGCAAAAAGAAATCTATCAGCAATTAAGAACAAATCAAATTACCTGAGTGGAAAAATATATAGAATTAAACTGACCTTTCGTTAAAAAATGGGAAATAGAAGTATTTTCTTTGGTGACTTATAAAAGCCTTCACTAAGAAGGCTTGCAAGGAAGCTAAGGCTAGGTCAGTGATGATGAATCTTTTGGGTACTGAGTGCCCAAAGCATGCACATGCATACCCAAAATGCAAGGTGCGCCTGCGCCCTTGCATGTGTGCATGCCCCTCGTGCATGTGTGCCACACAAGTGCCCCCCTCACCCATGTGTGGCAGAGACCCGAAAGCCAGCTGGCTGGCCAGTGAAGCTGAGCTGGGGCAATGGTGCGCGTGTCCACAGAGAGGGCTCTGCTTTCCACCAGTGGTATGCGTACCGTAGGTTCACCACCACTGAGCTAAGTGAAAGGAAAATCCTGGATAGAACCCAGAAAATGTAGAAAATTAACTTTTCTCTTCTTTCACTGCTGCTGTTGCTGCTACTACAACTACTTTTTACACTGTTGTTTGTGTGTGGGGGGGTGTTTTCTGAAATAGTTGAAGAAATGGAAAGATCATTAATAAAATGTTTCCTAAAAGGTACTTTTCAAATTAAGATAAAAATGTATTGTGCTTGGAAATATATCAAATCAACAAATATAGTATTAACATTGCTTAACATATTTATTAATAACATAATTAACAAATTAACAAACCATGAAAGGAGAGTGAAGTTCATTCGAGACAAAATACATTTATATGACATTCTAAAATTTTTTAAAAGGCTCAGAAGTCAAATTGCTGGTAGTAGTTTAGATCAGGTGTTGCCAACCTTTTGAACTTCAGGGACCACCAAACTCATAATTTTAAATCCCAGGGACCACTAACTGGTTCTGTGTGCGTGATGTAACTTGTGGGTGTGGCCAGAGGTGCTATTCAGTAGGTTCTGACCAGTTCTGGAGAACCGGTAGTGGAAATTTTGAGTAGTTCAGAGAACCGGCAAATACCACCTCTGACTGGAGATTTTACAGTATCCTTCCCCTACTACGCCTACCAAGCCACACCCACAGAACCGGTAGTAAAAAAAAAAAATTTGAATCCCACCATTGGGTGTGGCTTGGTGGTCATGTGACTGGCTGAGGATGGCTTGTATGTAAATATTATAAATATTTATATAAATATTGAATTTTTAATAAAAAAGCAACTTTTACCCAAAATCAGGCAAAGCAGACAGACAGGCAGATTAAGTTGCTCACAGAATCATTTCGTGATCATCAGCTAGCTCAGTCTCTCAAATTTGCTTGCCATGAGTCTGCACTGAATAATAGAATCTTCAGTCCTAAGGGAGATTCAGCTTTGCTTAAACCGTAACCCTAACCATTTCCTGCTTCCTAGCTAATCTAAATCTCCCGGCACAGCAGAAAAGATGATGGTCAGAAAAAGGAAAAATAGCAATTTAGCAGGCACATTTGCCGGGTAAGGAGTGAGTGGGCGGGGAGGGTTCCTGTGGGCTATGTGGGCGATGCAGCCTTGTGTTTCTGCACAGCCTGGATTAATTGCTTTGGGGGGGTGCTCTTGGGTTGAGATTTCTCTGCGGACCGCCAAAATTTTCTCATGGCCCACCAGTGGGCCACTGCTCGTTTAGATTCAGAAAAACTGGAATGATTAGCTATCACTTTATACAGCAAATATTCCCTCTTTTCTTAGCTTGTTTTGCCTTTGAAAGAAATACTTTTTGTATCAGTGTTATAATAGGAAACAAAGTCCACAGTATATAACATTTTTCTTTTAGTGTTTCAATTCCTTGTTTTCAGTTGGTGTCTTTTTTCTGCAACTTGCAATAATAAAATATGC